TCCATTGTGTTTCTCCTCCTCTGCATCTTTGTGGTTGGTAATCTGAACCAGTAAGCATAGGGATAATCTACTGAGAGAGGCGTGCATCCCTCTATCCGCTACAGTACGATGCTCTGAGTCTTTTCAGCCGCAGCATGTGTGTGCTTCAGAGAGGGAGAGAGAAAAAGAGAGAGTGTGAGAGCAGGATCAAGATAGAGAGAGAGAGAGAGAGAGAGAGAGAGAGAGTGTGTGAGAGAGAGAGAAAGTGAGAGAGTAAGAGAGAGAAAGAGAGAGAGATGAAGGGGGACAAGAGAGAACAATTCATTCTAGCTGATCTTGTTTGAAATTTCATTTAATGCAGATCGAAGTAAAAGTGACAAATATTGTATCATCTGAAGTAGCAGGTTTTCCTGTTTATTCATTAACAAATAAACAATACATAGAATTAAATTAAATTAATGTTTAGTCTAAAATTTACTTCAGTTGTTACAGTAATGAATGCACATATGTATTTATACAAACTGTACATTCAATATAGTAGAGTTGTTGGACAATTTTGATAAGTAACAGGCTAATATTATTTTCATTTTTGTAAACCATCTAATTTAAAAAAAATCTGAATTGAAAAGGGAATGGCAAAGCAAAACTAAAATACAACTTTTCTAGATAACAAATATATCAAACCACCACAATTAATTTATGCAAAGTAACACTTCCATTGTGTTTCTTTGTGTTACAACAACAGACACAAGTTTTCTCCCTGAATGCTATTGAACATTGAAGGATTAGTTCACCCAAAAATCTAAATCTTATTAATTATTACTCTCTGACAGCACCCTGATGGTCCTGACTAGTGTAAAAAATACAGATATATATACATCACTAAATATTGGTACTGAAATTAGGGCTGGGTGATTTGGCCTAAAATCATAATCTCAATTAATTGAACTTTTTAACTCGACTACGATTAATGAATAATTATTTAAACATTTTTTTTTACCCTCGTAGTCCACTGGTAAGTTTGTACAGTAAATATGCTCACATACTACAAGTGAGAGATTTTAGAATGAAGGATGCATTACTTGATTTTAAAGTAATCAAAAAGGAAACACACACGATCTATAATTATTTATTGAACTTCAACATTAAAAACTAAAATGGAAAAAAAAAAAAAAACGTTGCCTAAAACCAGCAATCACTCTTTATTATAAAAAAGTTAAAATAAAGAACTTGCACTTCTGGAAACAAATTCGATTATTAATATTATGTTTTTCATTTTAAAAGTAGAAAATAAACAGTATCTCTTTAAAATAAAATAACTCTTGCATATCCTGCAAATAATATTTTAACTTCTGAAAACAAAGATTTTAAATGTAAATAATTGTATTGTAATGGAAAATATGCCATCTCACAGCATGTCTGGCGCAGCTTCAAATCATCATCAATGTAGTGCAAACGTGCAATGTTTTGAAAGGTGCGCAGGTATGCGACCACGCGAAGGCTGCGCTGGACCATACCTGTACATACCCAAAAGTAATTGAAAAAAAAAGACCTGGAAAAAATTTGATCGATTATAGGTTCTGAATGCCGACTTAGATTGCATTTCTATAAATCACCAAACCTTAACTTAAATCTTTAAAACGATACAATCTTGCTTTCGTTTAGTATCGATACAGGCTTTGCTCCTCTCTTCTCAACAGCCAGGAGTTGAATAACCATCAAACTTATTTTATAATTTAGAAACATGAAGATATGATTACAATATAATATGAACACTATTATGACCAAAATAATCGTGATTACGATTTTTCCCAAAATCGAGCAGCCCTAATATATAGCTTGCCTACGACCCGTAAGTATTTATTCAGAGATCAGCGTTGAAAGGTAACGTTAATATGTACGGAACATTGTTGTGTACGGAATATGGTTAGTCTACAACGTTTACATTTTAATTTGTGATATTTTGAATCTGAGGACAGTAATGAAAAAATAGCAATATTTACTTTGATACTTTAAAAAATATCAATAATGTTATTTAATGTAATGTGTGCAAAAGTACAAAAAAACAACAACGTTAAAGTACTTTGTTTAGTGTTTCTAAAGTGATTCACCGCAAACGCTACTGAAGTTAGAAAAGTGTGTGGTATTAAACTTTAGAGACGGTCCCTAAATGTTCAAATACCAACCGTCCACCATTAAACCAACTTTATGTAATTAATGTCCAAAAATGTTTCTAAATTCGACCGTATACATAAAGGTTAAAACACACGTGGCAAACGATACAGAATTTACACATCTTACTTTTAAACAACGATATCTGACAAAAGATACGTTAACGTTGCGTTACCATTTTCTCCTTCCTCCAATGTTCCATTCAGCGTGCGTAGTGAAGAGATTTCGCACACTTTCCTCCATAATTATCGCAATTTCGCATTTCAAACGCATGTACTGTACGTGATGTTTCATCGGTGCAGGCTGAAAATAACAAGTATTTTACCGGATTTAAAAAATAAATAAAAATCTGCCTCACAGAAGCCACAAAGGTACATACATCGTTGGATCCGCCCCATATCAGAGTGAAATGATTGACAGTCACAGCCTCCAATTAACGCAAGCGGATCGTAACCGTGACACCAGGGAGTATTTTAACGCAATTATTATAAACATTTTGTTTTGTTGTTGTTGTTTGTAAAGTTTTGATATTCTAGCTTAGTCATATGGTGATACCCAATGTCAGTTTGCATGATCAGTTATTAATTCTGTTCGTTTTAATAGGCTGACCATGCAGTGCAGTGGGCTGTTTATTTATTTCATAATAAAGGCACGTGTTCTTAGAATGCAAGTGGAGTTTTGCCTAAAACAAAAGTTGTCAATTATTTTTTGACATTATTTGACATTATTTTGTCAATAAAAAAGTCATTTAACCTGCTATTACTAGCAAACTGTTGACAAATTATTGAAACTGACAAATTATAGATAACAAATGGTACTATAAAAATTGTTTTCTTTCTTTTATATTTTCTTCACTAATGATTTGGAAAGTTTCTTGAAATTAAGTTTATTTGAGTGATTTTGTTATTTCGTTCAATTAAATTAAATTCTATGTCCAACTTAAAAATGTTCTTGGGAATATTTCAAAAACTTATAGGCTTTGAACAGATCTGCACTTGAAGTCAACATTATTAGCCATGTTGAATTTTTATTTATATTTTCCAAATGATGTTTAACAGCTCAAGGGATTTTTTACGGTATTTCCTTTAATATTTATTCTGGTTAAAGTCTTATTTGTTTAAGTTTGGCTACAATAAAAGCAGTTTTAATAATTAAAAAAAAATAAAAATAAGAAGTTAAGGTCAATATTATTAGCCCCCTTAAGCAATGTTTATTTGTTGATTGTCTACAGACCAAACCACTGTTATACAATGATTTGCCTAATCTAAGTTATTAGTTAATAAAACTACTATGTTTATAAATGTGTTGAGAAATCTTATTTTCTGTTAAACAGAAATTGGCCAAGAAAAAAGTAAGGGAGGGCCTAATAAATGGAGGGCTAAGAATTCTGACTTCAGCCTTATCTGTATTGTATTTAAATGTGCATGTTCTTGTTCAATCATGTAATTCATCACTATCACTGGTGGGAACATCCTGTACAATCTTCTGTTCTTGGATTTGTTATTTGAAATCATCAGTCATTGACTGCTTCAGAGTCTTCCCTCTGTTTTAACGTTCCACATTCTAAACCTAAACCAACTGAGCCCACAGGAATATTGTAGACAATCGACATGTTCCTTTAAGCAATAAGTTTGACAAAAAAAATGAAACCAATTAAATTTAGCTAATTGACATATATATATATATATATATATATATATATATATATATATATATAAACACATTTAAAAAGAATAAATATTAAAAGGTCAATCAATCATTCAATAAATCGTATTTGAAAGTTGACCATAATTACTTTCAAAGTAAAAAATAGATCCTGACTATCTAATGAAACATACTTCAAACAAACTTATTCTAAATAAACACTTACATGTTGAGATGCTCTGTTGTCATATAAACTGTTATACCACTGAATAAATTTTCATAGAGCATTTGCTTAACTTGTTTGACAGCCAAATGAAGTAACATCTACAGACTTCAAAATGAGGAGTTGATTATTAACCCTTGACCAATGATGCATACAAACTAAACAGTGTAGATACTAAAAGATTAAAACTGCAGTCCATAAGTTTTGCCTCAATCACCATCTCTGTGTGAAATCTGCAACTGCAGTTCACTGTTGTGCTTGAGTGGCTCCTCAGAGTGGATGTGTTAATGTGTGGCTGTCAGTAACAACACCACTGTGGTGCTTTGGTTCGCAATCACATATTCTACATTTTGGAAGTACTGCATGACCCAAATCAGAATTTTCCCCAGAAAATGTCGTCTAAACAAGTAACACATTTGACAACTTTTTCTGAATAAAAAAATAAGTTAAATTGACATAACTTTGAAAAAAAGATAATATATTATACATTTTTTAAAGGATTTACAAGAATAAATATTCAACAGTCAATCAATAATTTCAAATGATTTAAAAGTTAATAGTCAATTTGAAAGTTGACTAAAACAAAACAGATCCTGACTATTTAATAAAACACTTATCCACTTAAAAACACACATACATGTACAGTCACTGAGCTGTAGCCATACTTTCCTATTTTTCTTCTATACTTAAAGTTACTTAAAACATGAGCCATATGTGCTAAACTTGTTAATGATAACATTTAGCATTGATATAAAAAGTAGCCTTTAATTTAAAACCATTGTTTCACTGTAGGTAGGTGTAACTGGATAGATCATGTTTGGTGACATCATTATGACTGGGTCTCAGTAAATCCTGACACACAAAAGCATTTCCCCTCACATCTGCACTTCTATTGTGCTTTCACAGGTCCGGAAACTCCATTTCAAAAGCCACACCAGTGCACCTAAAGTGAACCCCATTTAACCAAACAACAACCAAAAAATAAAGTTCAGGTACACAGTGTGTTTTTATTTCATTTTCCCCACATTCACGTTTATACAATAGTGAGAATCAACATTTACAGCATAATACAATAAAAATCATCAACAAACATACTGTAGCACATTCAATAATGTTCAATTCATGTAGTCAAAGTTGAAAAAAAAAATTGTTATATTAATGTATTATTTGAGAAACAAAAAAAATAATAATCTGCCCAACCACCACATTGGAACGACCAAACAACTGGACATAAGGTACCTTATACAAATGAGCATATTTTAACAATTAAATTGTAAATATAATAAACAGTAAATTGTTTTACTGTTAAATTAAGTTCTAATTATTATTATAAAGCTGTTCACATCAATCAAAGAATCAATAAATATACTAGTGATTAAGTAGTACATAAGTATGCATAACTTACTGTATATGCAATATCTCAGGTCACTGAAACAGACCATTTTAAAAAAGACTCATCTTGAAATTGTCAAAATGTTTTTTTCTTTTTCTTTTTTTCTTTATTAAATCACTTTTTGCTGTGCATTTCCCTGCTTAAGTTTGTCTGACAAACATGGTTTTGTAAACTGTGGATAATGTTGCAATAATTGCAAGTTGCTATTGTTCCTCTATTTGAATGAAAAGCATCCGCTAAATGCATAAATGGACTAGTGTAACCACATCAGAAAAATCTCTTTCCATAAAAACTCATCCAGTTAATGTATACCGTGATCTTCATATTAATAACATTCATTTATCGTTTTTCTGTAAGGTCCAGGGTTTTCATTAACCTGAGAATTTGTGCTTGCATGTGCTCCATTAATCCCTTTATGTTTCTGCAAACTGAGTTCCCACAGAAGACATTGTGGGACATTGAGAAGTCAACTGTCAGTTACTGCTTCTGCTATCCACTTCAAGTAGTGCTGGCTTCCATCATTAATGGGAAAAGTGATGATTTCTGGGATGTCATATGGGTGGATGGCTCTGAGGGGACACAAAGGAAATAGAGGTAACATTTCAATAATTCTGATCTCTAACCTGAAAACAAAAAAATTGCACATTGAAGCAGCTAGTTTGGCAATTGTGTGGCATTAGAGGGCACTGATGGAATCCTTGTTAGTCATTTTATTATTTCTTATAATCGCTATAGTGGTGTTTTTGCACAATAATAAGTATTTTTAGTAGAAGCCAAAAAATAAGAATGCATGTTTTTGTATAAATAACAGGCTGTGTAGATTTTCAGTACATTGTTTGAACATGCTGATTCTACAGTACATGCACAATACATGCAACAAGGAAACTGTAAAATTAAGTTCAATTTAATTCAATTCATCTTTATTTCTATAGCGCTTTTACAATGTAGGTTGTGCCAAAGTAGCTTAACATAGAAGTTTTAGTAAATTGAAACTGCCAGTCCAATTTTCAGATTCAGTTCAGTTTTAGATTCAGTTCAGTGTGGTTTATTTTTTAGCTCCACAAGTCCCAAAACCAAAAAAGCCAGTGGCGAGAAACAAAACTTAACCAATTGACGAAAATGAAGGGGAAAAAAACCCTAGAGATAAACCAGGCTCAGGTGGGCTCAACTATTTCTCCCCTGGCCAAACGGTTACCCAAATCACTTCACTGAAATGCTCAGTGCAGTAGTCCACATTTGAAGTGGATCATCACCTTTGATCAAAGTTGTCCTAAAACTATCCAACAACACCACTTCTTGTTTTAAAACAATTTTGAAAAACTTTTAGATCTACTTCAAATGTTGACTACTGTATTCTAAATCAGCAATTTGTTCATGTTTAACAAACATTAGTCAACAATAGTAAATGTTTACATACGGTACATTGCAGGTTGTGCACTCAAAAGTACAGTAATATCATTTGTTTGTTAAATAACATAGTTTTAAAAAAAACCACAAGTAAATTTCTCTCAAATTTCAATAATGAAGCAACCAATAAAAAATTACCGGGAATTTTCTGGAAATTTTTCTGGAGATCTCATGTAAACAGGCACTTTTTGAAAACACTAGTAAATTTGTTCAGCCAATTTTCCAGAAAAAATTTGTAACATTACTGGTATTATCACAGAATTCTGCTCTGTCTGAATGCAGAAAAAAAACTGCCAGAAAAGCACATACATGCTTAGAACGTGCTGATGTGAAATGTTTGAATCCTTTTCCTCCCAAGTGGTGCTCGCTGCAGAGCCATTTGAGGAGAGGTGAGCTCCAGAGAGGGGGAGCTTAAGCTTGAGCTCCACCTTTTTTGCACTTCTTCTACGAGTGATGTCACTGGGGGTAGGGTTAGGGGTGGGGTTGGTGTACGCATTAAAACAGCTTACAGGAGGAGGAGCGACAGCTCATGCTCCCCCTCTCTGGAGCTCACCTCTCCTCAAATGGCTCTGCAGCGAGCACCCTCTCTTTTCCAGACACATTCAGAGATTTGAAGAATGAAATGATCCTGGATCGTGTCAAATTGTCAACATCTAAATCCAGCTAATTGAGTAAATCCAGCTAATTGAGTAATCCACGTACGAAGAAAGGACCCCTAGTTAATGACGTCAGAATAAACCAGTATTTTGAAATGGATGTACCAACGGTCCAAAAAATAAATAAAAATCCAGAACGTCCTTTTTTTTTAATAGTGATTTACCATTAAAGCTGTTTTAGACATTTTCTGGATTTTTAATAGTATTACCAGGTGAAAGGGACTAATGACGTGCTGTATAGTGGCATATATGAGCTGTGCATTGATGGATTTTTTCTTTAGTCGTTGGACTTTCAGCAGGAAAAAAAAACATACTGAACTAAACTAAACTGAACTTCACCTCTGAAAACTGGACTGACACAGTTTCAATTTACTAGAAATTCTATGTTTCGCTGCTTTGACACAATCTACATTGTAAATTAAGAATTGAATTAAATATGTGTCTTTTACTAGTCACTTATAAGTGCAGTATTTAGTTTAATAACTCTAATGCCTGAACCCAGAAAACAGCATTGACCTCATGCGCTAAACTCTAGGTGCCCTATCATACACCCAACGCAATAAGGCTATTTTTAGACTGGTGCAACCCTAATGTTCACGTTTTTTAACACATTGTATAAATAGCAAATCTATTTACGCTACTTTGTGGACTCGTGTATGTTCCTGTCTATAAAGGAGGCGTGTTAAGGTGCATTGTTGCGGTGTTGCTATTTTAAGGAAGTGAAATAGACTGCGCTGTTAGTAAAAGTAAAAGCTTGTCTAAATTACAGTGCAGAGTGCTTAGTTATGTGCTTAAGCATTTTCAAATGCTTAATACACACAGAATTTACAGCAATAAGCATATATCTTTACATATGAAAAAATAAAAGACAAAATAATTTTTTACTACATAAAGATGAAGTCAGAATTATTAAAGCCACTGAATTATTAGCCCCCCTTGATTATTTTTTACCCAATTTCTGTTTAGAGGAGAGAATATTATTTCAACACATTTCTAAATTTATTAGTTTTAATAACTGATTTATTTGATCTTTGCCATGATGACAGTAAATTATATTTGACTGGATATTTTTTAAATACAATGTAAATAGTAAATGCACCATGGCATGACGTAATTGACTCTTAAAAGGAATGGGAGATGAGACTCTGATTGGTTTATTATCAAAACACACCCATAACTCATTAAGAGAATAAGCTCAACCCTGTTAGACCATCCGCCGAGGTGCAAAGAGAATTTTTCCGACCTTAAAATAGCAAAAGTGGATTCGGACATGCCCTTAATGCTTCTGCGCTTTAGACTTGGCGGCTAGATTGTTAAAATATAGCCCAAAATTTTCTGCACTTGCTCAAATATGTATAGTTTTTGGCCAAAAAATAAAAGGTGCGGACTGCAGCTTCTTTTAAAAAAAGGGAAACATTTGTGTGAGTTTTGTGCAGATCTCTAAGGTATTAATTCAATTTTTAAGCAATGGTGAAAAGAAACATACTTACGTTATATAAGTCATAAGTCTCTGCACAAGAGATGTTTTTGTCCTCACAAGCTGAAAATAGAAACCCTATTGTAATCATGCACAGCATTTTTATAATCCCAACATAAGAAATACGGTTATAATAATTACTGACAGAGAACAGCTGCATACACTGTAAAACTAATCTGAAATTGTAAAGAAATATGAAAAAAAAAACATACCAGTAGTATTTCTGTGGCATCCCTAATCTCACCTTTCCAGTAGTACCTGAAATTAATAAAAAGTTAAAAACAATGTGAATTAAATTTAGTATTAAACGATTGCATTCATTTATTTGCTTAAATCTTACAGAAAAACATTTTTAAAAATGTTCACCTGAAATTTCAAAAATTGATTCAGAGTATTTTTTTAGAAATGAAATGATTGTCCTTCATTACATAAACAGTCAGTTAATCATTTATATACAGTGTTGCTAAAAATTACACTTCAGCTGTAGTGTTTTGGCTTCAAGGGTTTAGAGTGGGTGAAAGGTTAAACTCGCTGGTCTTACATTGTGGCAGTACGAGGAAATATATTCACACATGCTGCCAGCCTTTTCTCCATGATGATTCTAACAAAACAAAAACATAAAGAGATGGACATAAATTAGCTTCTCTGTATATGCATACAATTACATCACGAGTCAAAGGCAAATTGTGCACACACACCTCATCTGAATGTAGGTTTAATATCGTACTGTACATAGACTGGAACAAAACCCCTTTAAATAGATCATGTTTCTTAGCTGCTGTTAATACGATTGCTTTACTCAATGCCTTACTAGAAAGTAGACTGTACAAAATGTTTTTCCCCTCTTCTTCTAATCAAGTGCACATTACATTTTAATGCATTTTACATTAAATTAATTAGTGGAGTGCTGTTGTAAATGTTTTTTTTTCTCAGCTTCTAGGAATAAATTTGTAAATTGCAACCATTCTACATTACAGCATTACTGAAAGCCTAAACACAGTATTACTATTTTACATTACATACAGCATCATACTATAGGCTTTACAACATATACTGAACAATATATCAAGTGGACTTGACAATGTTCACATAATTCTTGAACAATAAATTATTTTCATTGTTTCTGACCCATGCAAATCAGGTTATCACAGCAACATTTCATACCACAATGCTTAAAAATACACAAGGTTAATATTTTAAACAAGCATAGTTAGAAAGGCGGACTGGTAGACAGAAAGAGAGAGCACTAACATGAAAAATGAGCAAATCTAGCTAATAATAACAACTTTTGTTTCTACGTTTTCAATTGTTTAGCTTGACACGTTTTGGTTTTATTCTTTAGCTGTGCTGCCATTGCCTTTTACCAACTGAAAATGTACCCACTTTTATTTCTAATGCATCTGCCATTACCTCATACTACTTAATATACTACCTTGTGTATTCCTTTGACAATAGACTCATGCAGGATTCTTCCAACCTTGGCAAGACATCATTTGGTAACCCTGACCTCAAGTCTGCAATCCCAAAAGATTTCAATTTTTAGTTTGCACAATGCCCATATTCCCCATTCATGCATTTTCACAGAAACAGGATGGATTCCTGGTGGTTCTGAATCTATTGGAATTCCAGGTGGCATGGTCCTCCCGAACTTCAAGAACCGCTCTGCTTTGATGAGCTTCTAGAGGGCAGTCTTATGATTTAACAGCTGTTAAGTGCTCGTTAACGAGAGATTAATGAGAAAATAAATCATAATGCATAAGAGTAAATATGGAGACTCCGGTCAAGATACTCTACAGGTTCTCAAACTAAAATAAAAAAAAATGAAGAAAGAAAGAAAGAGAGAAATTTTAAATTTGAATTAAATGAAGAAAAAAACTAAAACAAATGCAACCATATATTTCTTTTTGTTGCTGCTGAAATGTTAAAAAGTATATCAAGAGGGAATTAGACACTCAATAACATAACACTTAATTAAAACAAAACAAACAAACAACATATAAATACAAATATTCAATATATATTTCAATCAATCAAATGATATTTCAGTGATAATGTTTTTTTATGACCAATATAAAAACCAGTGGTTACAGCAAGCTATTTTAACAGAAGGTCAAACTCACAAACTCTGCTTCTTTTACAGATAGATCTATCATAAAACTGGAAGTTTTTATTTAGTTGAAAGTAGTTGTTCAAACCATCTGTTGGCATATTATTTTTTATTATTGTTTATATCTGATTTATTATGTTTAAAAAAAATATCTTCAGAAAAATCAATTAATACTGAATTTATATTTGCATTAAGCCTTGTTTCTCAGTTTGACACTGAATAATCACTGCATTGTTATTCTGAAAGATAAGTCTTATAACATGGTTTAAAAAATAAGGACTGCCTCAGTTAAGGTTAAAAAAAAATGTTGTCAAACATACAGGCCAGAAACACATTAATCCTTGCAATAAAGATTTGCTTCCTCAAACCCAAACACCAACTTTGCCAAGCAGTGTATTTAACACACACATTTATAACCACCCCTGCAATGTACATTGCACTAGGTGCAGGTCAATGTGCAACTGATTAAATAATGTTATCAATAAAACATGTAATGTTCTTTAAAAGTGTGTGGTTGCTTTTTTATGCTATCAAATTGTTGTAAAGACAAACTTTGTCATAAACACAAACTCATGAAAACATAAAGCTTTTTGTCATTTTGAGTACTAGGTGTCGCACAGTCTGTCCGCCAAATTGCCGGCACCTCAGAACTTTAATCTTGGACAATGTGCCTTATGGGTTGTTCACATGACATTGTGGTAGAATTCATCTAAGGTGCTGCTTGGGTGGCCCAATGATGAGCTGCTGTCTAGCCATGTGTCTTCCACATCTCACTGATGCCAGAAAAAGTGTGGACATTCCTCACATTGCTTGTTCTTAGTGGCCATTGTGAAACAAATGACCAGCAGCTATAACAGTGGTGACCAGAGCAATGTGTAACAAGACACAGTTTGTCACAAACTTCTGCATAAAAGCATCTGTAGCCATAAACCCAGCTGGGTTCCCATATTAACACCATGCCACTATCAACAACTAATGAAATGGGGTCAAGATGTTTGAGCTTGAACCCTGGATGATTGATAGAAAGTGATCTATTCTGATCAATCACCATTTGCGTTGCATTACATTGACAGGTTTGTTCAGATATTACCAACATTAATTAACAACTGAGGTTATGACACATTGATGTAATGTTATTCAGGATCTACAGTAAAAAATATATTTTCATGGGACACTTCAGGCTTCAGAATCCCAACAGCAAACCCAGGAAAGCTATGGTAGCAAGTCCACTCACTTATGGCAAATATGTTCTCTGCAAGTGACGTACATCACCAGCAGGATGATTTGCCATCTTCGAATCTTCACGGTATTTGAAGAACATCCTAGTGAATTTTTGTTAATGTCTTGGCCTCCCAACTTCCCTGACATGAACCCGATCAAACAGTTGTGGTTAGACTTGGAAAATTGTGTTTGTGATAAGTGTTGACATTATGGTTCCAGAAAACAGAGACCTGGGGTCCGTTCTTCGTACCTCACATAAATGATCTAGGATTATTTGGCAGACCCTGGATCTTTTAATCTTAATAACTGATCTCTCGCTAATTTGGTTCTTCAAACAAGTTCGCGAATCAGATTAGAATGTCTGGATAAACTGATCTGAGATCGCTGCGTGTGTTGTGAAGGACAGATCTATCGATCCTAGAAATCATGATCAGCAATGCAACGATTGGCTGACGGCACAGCAGCGTAATGACATCATCTGATTAATATTCAAATATCCATGTGAGCAAAATTACATAAAATTAGCAGTAAATGGTTTGTTAAATATGACACGCAATAACCTTCCACATTTGTTGTGAGCTGCAGGCTTTACACTTTCATGTGTCAAGAGTATTCATCATGTATTTCAATGCAAATCAATGTATTTAGTTCTATATTTAGAAAAGATTTTCTTTATTATAGTAGCCGTTTTTTAATCGGTGTAAAGAATAACTGGTTGTTTACAAAAGCATTTTCATATTGGTAAAAGCGTCTGCAACTTTTGTGAAGCATCAAATCACTGACATATTAACTATCAAAACATGTTTATGACTGCATAAATGTATTATTGCTTTAAAAAAAGTCACATATTATTTCTATTATACACAATTTGTACTAAAGCGATCTTAAAGTTCAAAACAATAAGTTTTCCCTTTGCACCAGGTGGCAGTCTTTGTACTTTCATTTCAAGGGTGCAGATTGCATACGTTTTATTAATATGTATAACTTAATTTATTTTAATAATGACTATAACTTTATATATATATATATATATATATATATATATATAGTTTAAAAAATATGTACCATTTTCCCAAGTGTATACAACTACTACTGTGAGAAAATATCAGAATTCGGAACATACTTTCTGTATTATCTTTGCTTGAACTAAGCCGATCTAATCCTGTTTATATGAATTGAACCTGCTTCCGATCAGGTTTGACCTAGCAGAACTGTTGCTATGACAACAACTCTCGGATCAGCTTTGAAGAACGTAACGATCCTGGATCGTGTCAAATCGTCAACATCCAAATCCAACTAACTGAGTAATCCACGTACGAAGAACGGACCCCTGGGGTCTATTCTTCGTACGTGGATTACTCAGTTAGCTTGATTTGGATGTTGACGATTTAACACAATCCAGGATCGTTTCGTTCTTCAAAACTCATCTGAGACTAGTTGTCATAGCAACAGTTCTTGTAGCTCAGAAAGGTAATAATATTTATATATATAAAAAAATAACTCCGACATAAGTAAAAGTAAAGTACATAAGTAAAAAGCCATCTGGTGGTTCAAAGGGAAAATTTAATGATATGAACTTTTTAGATACAAACGCGTACACACACACACTATTCCATTTAAAAAAAAAAAAAAAAAAAAAAGGATAATTTATGCAGTCATGAATGTGTTTTGACCGCAAATATGCCAGTGATTTGATGCTTCGCAAAAGTTGCACACACCATACAGTTATACAGTTATTCCTTACATCGATTAAAAAAACTTGAGGTTGCCTAAGCTACTATAATAAAGAAAATCTTCTCTAAATGTAAAACTAAATACACCTATATGCATTGAAATACATGATGGATACTCTTGACACATGAAAGTGTAAAGCCTGCAGCTCACAACAAATGTGAAAAGTTATTGTGTAATACGCATCATATTTAACAAACCGCTTACTGTGAACTTGATGTAATTTTTCTCACATGGATAATAGAATATTAGTCAAATGATGTCATTATGCTGCTGTGCCATCAGCCAATCAGCATTGCTGATGATGATTTCGAGGATCGATAGATCTGTCCTCCACAATACACGCAACAATCTCAGATCAGTTTACCTAGACATTTTAATCTGATTTGCGAACTTGTTTGAAGATTCAAATTAGCTAGAGATCAGTTATCAAGATTAAAAGATCCAGGATCTGCCAAATCATCTTAGATCATTTAAGCAAGGTACAAAGAACGGACCCCTGTTGCCAGCTCACTGAATCAACATCTTGCCAGGTGGCAGCTGTTTTGTGGATTAAATGAGGCTATCAGATAGATGGTCATAATATAATGGCTCATCTTTTGCTTATACACTTATCAGCCACTTTATTAGGTACACCTGTCTGACTGCTCATTAACTCAAATTTCTAATCAGCCAATCGCATGGCAGCAACTCAATGCATTTAGGCATGTAGACATGATCGAGAGGATCTGCTGCAGTTCAAACCGAGGATCAGAATGGGAAAGAAAGGTGATTTTAGTGACTTTGAACGTGGCATGCTTGTGGTGCCAAACGGGCTGGTTTAAGTATTTCAGAAATTGCTGATCTACTGAGATTTTCACCCACAACCATTTTTGTGGTTTACAGAGAATAAAAAAAAAAAAAAAAAAAAAAAAAGAGAAAACATCCAAGGAGTGGCAGTTCTGTGGGCACAAATCCCTTGTTGATGCCAGAGGAGAATGGCCAGACTGGTTCGAGCTGATAGAAAGGCAACTTAAATAACTCAAGTAATACAAATAATCACTCATTACAACAGAGGTATGCAGAAGAGAATCTCTGAATACACAACACGTCCAACCTTGAGGCAGATGGGCTACAGCAGCAGAAGACCACACCAGGTGCCACTCCTGTCAGCTAAGAACAAGAAACTGAGGCTAAATTTGCACAGGCTCACTAAAATTGGACAATAAAAGATTGGAAAAACATTGCCTGGTCTGGACATTCGGAGGTAGGGTCAGAATTTGGCGTCAACAACATAAAACATGGGTCCAACCTGGTACTAGTAAGGTGTACCTAATAAGGTCGGTAAGTGTATGTATATGTGTGTTACTAAACCTAGCCTACTAGTCCTGCTGTAGCATCGCCACTGATGAGCCATGATATGCAGCTGACAAGCACACAGAAAGATCCTGGTCCACAAGGTAACATATTGGCGTTTCATTCTTGGAATCCGCATAAGAATTCAAAACAGATTTGGTAGCAGATATGGCCTGTTGAGTAACCTATGACTCTGAGTCGCTTTAAAAGTCGAAATTTAATTTCTTTGTTTTTTTTGTTTTAGTTCATGTTAGCTTTTATTTTGGGGGTTAACATTTATTATTGTTTGTTTGTTCAGAATTGTTTTTTTATGTTCTATTTCCAATTTCTAAATATTCTTAAGATTAAAATAATCTGTGTTCTTTGATGATTTTACGGTTTAATTTAAAACTTTCAATGCATCATTGGACAAATGTGAGTTTTTTTACAATAATATCTCAGTTCATACAAACACCACTAGACTGCAGTTAATACTATATTTTATAATTACAGTGCATGTTGTATTATTTATGATAACGAGTTCAGGTAAGAACAAAAAGGTCAAGAAACTTTTTGTTGACACAAACCACAGAGCATTTAATCACAAAGTACATCAGCAGCTAAAACATTTAATCAGATAAAGCATTTTACAATACTAAGTAGGTTGTCAGAAAGCAAAGGCTATTACATGAACAGACATTAGATTATCATTCCATTCCAAAGACATATTTCTGCTGTATACAGTTGTCACTAAACAAGCTAAGGCGCACAACATTTAATTTTTGCTGCTGATAGTTTCACTATTGACAAAATCACGTATGCAGTGCAACCATTAAGCAGTGCAGTATTTGCTTATCAGTGTTTCCCCTGGGTTTTTATTCTTTTTTTTTTTGGTGGGGTATTCCGCTTGGGGGTGTGGCGCGACTGTTCAGACTAACTTAAGGAGTCATCATGGTGTTAATTTGTTTCTTTTAATGACAGCAGTAAATGACTAAACAATTATTTGAACAGTACAAGCATTAAACTAAAATGTAACATTCATTTTTATATCTTTTTTTTATCCACAAAGTGTGTAGCTTGTCACTGCAGTGTATTGATTTTAGTATACTTTACTTTTATACTTGACCTTTACTAAAGTATAATTTTTCCTAAAGGTGTATTTGCTGACTTAATTACTAAGATCAGTCTCGTACAGCCAGGGAAAGTATTTTCGCTCTGACAGCCAAGCTGGGTCAAAGCTAGGGAAGCTCTATTCAGGATTTTTACAGCTGATATTGTATCGGCTGGTACTGAGTACCAATTCTAATGCTCCAAGCTTTATAATGCATTAAGCACATATTCCCTCTAAATATAAACCTTAAGAGAAGATTTTGCCTTATCTAAGAGTATAAATGAAGGATGCTGCTAATAAAGCCTTAAACACAAGCATCTTTACAGAAAATAATTCATCCATTCATTCGACTTCAGCTTATTTATTAGGGGTCTCCACAGCAAATGAACCGCCACAGAAAATATTAACACATAGATATAAATATTGGTAAGAAAAATTACAAATAAAAGAAAAATAAATGAATGAAATGACAAACAATGCAACTTGGAAACACTGCAAAAGATGAAAGAAGAGTTCAACATGTCTAAATCAAAAACAAGTTTGGAGCGCATGTTTGATGCATTTGAATTAAAATGCACACCTATAAATTTAATACTTCTTTACTAAAAGGAAATGGGCCTATACACCGTTTATTGCAATAAGTATATTACAAGAAGTTATATCATTAAATATTCATGTAAAAAAGGGTTTTATTTTACCTAATAATTCCAGCCAGCTTTAAATAACTTTTGCAATATTGTCAAAAACATGTCACAGCCGCTTAAAACACTGGAAATACAATGGCTGTACTTGCAACAAAGAGCATCACTCATGCAAGTTGCACCAATAAACACGCATAATATACAGAGGCACGTGCATCTTCGGCCTTGTCAGGTGTTGCGCACACACTCTCATTCCATACAGCAGAGAGTGGCTGTGTGAACTCCACCATGCGCGATTTAGAGAGCAGAAATTGGTAATCGCTCGACCAAGTAAAGACAGAAATTACATGCTGTTGTGTAAATAAAATATTACATGTTTAGCTTTTTAGCTTGTTTATTAAAATAAGTTGTGATCTGGTGCAATATAGAAAACAACATTAACTTGACTTCAAGGGGGCGGGGAAAGCCGTTGGGAGGGCCCCCCTAAATTAATGGTAAGGGAAACACTGCTTATATTTTCGAATGGTGATGAAGAAGCCACCAGCACTGAGAAAAAGGAAGCGAATATGTATATGTATGTACACACACACACACAGACACAGACACACACTCCAACAAGCCCTTATCATGGCTAAAGGAAAATGATGTCACTTAGTGACTATAGAGCGGATCATTATTTCTGAATAATTCATCCTTGAGTGGGTTAATGAATAACTGAGAATGTGTACTGTACCTTCCAATGTCTCTGGCAGTTTGTTCAGTAGGACAGTTGACAAGCAACAGTGAGTGATATCCTGACACATATTTTCCTGTGAAGGCAGAGTAAATTTGAACCCCTAGTGTCCTCAGAACAGGGTATAGGGCGAGAGTCACTACTAGAAGCTACAGAAATAAAAGAGAGAAGAGAAAGAGAATACAGTTATTAATTATGTAATCTAATATCATAACATTTCTAGAATGTATGAAAACAATGCATTTTTCCAGTTATCTTTCAAGTCAATATGAATAAAACCTGAAATAATACAAGCTCTCCCTTAAGGGTCAACTGGTGAGTGAATTTGTGAGTGTGTGTGCGTGTGCGTGTGCGTGTGTGTGTATCTGTAAAGTTGGCTTTAAAAATCAAATACATGTCCTTTTCTTATTTCTTAATTCATTCATTCCTTCGTTCATCTTCTTTTGGCTTGGTCCCTTTATTAATCTGGCATCACTACAGCAGAATGAACAGCCAACTTATCCAGCATATGTTTTACACAGCGGATGGCCTTCCAGCTGCAACCCACCACTGGGAAACATCCATACACACTCATTCACACACATACACTATGGACAACTTTAGCTTACCCAATTCACCTATACCACACATCTTTGGACTTGTAAAGGAAACCCACGCAAACACGGGGAGAACATGCAAACTCCATACTGAAACACCAACTGACCCAGCCAAGGCTTGAAGCATTGACCATCTTGCTGTGAGGCAATTGTGCTACCCACTGCACCACTGTGCTGCCCCATTTTTTAATTAGATCAGAATCAAATGAATTGATAAATGAATAATGTAAAAATTAATAATGTTACATTTACACAACAGTCATTTACTAAATAATGTACTTGTAATATCTTTGTTTAGAGAAACAACCTGTAAAAGTGCTTGTAATCTTAACGGGTTCACACAAACTTATTCAGAAAGCATGCTTTAAATAAAATGTGTTTCTTTTCTGTCTATGATTAAACTAATGTGTGAAATTCTTGGTTAAATTAGAGACAGATTTCAGAAAAATGTCAAACCACTAAAGAAAAAACTGCAGACAGGAAATGTAAAATTAAAAAAAAAACTTATGCACTTGCATGCAATTTTAAAATTGATTTTATGATCAGAGAACAAATGGTGATATTTGGAGAAATACAACACTAGAGATTAGTAACTTTCATCATATTTGTTATACACAATCATACTTTTATATTTTACTTTGTAGTCTAGAAGAATACCATAAAAACATAATTGGGCAGTTTTTAAATTAATTAAAATATGCATTTAATTACTTGGCATTTAATTATTTGTAATTTGCTGGACCAAAGAATATCAGATGTGATTTGTCATTAAATACTTTGAGACTGTATGTTGTTGCTAAAATGCTTAATCAAATGTGCCAAATAATTTACCCCCAGTTAATATGACTAACAAATACAGAGTTTAGCTACGGTAAATGCAAATAAATTACATGACACATCCTCTAGGACCCAGGTTATTATTATTATGAAGATTATTATTATTATTATTATTATTAAGCACAGTAAGCAGAAAGAAATATGTAATAATCAAGATTCAAAATACAATGCCTTCAAATGCAATTCAGTTAAAATATCTAATGTTTTGAAACAATAATTTGTGTTAATGCATCACTACATACAGGCTTGAAACAACATGGGGGTCAGAAAATGATGACAGGCCTTTCTATTTTAGTTAGAGTTAAAATAACATTTTTATGATTGGCATGATTCACAAATAATACAAGAATTATTAAAATGCAGCACACAATGATATACATGTAGACAAACTCAATGACTGGTTACATTTTTACTTTACATTATTAATTACGGTTGCATTATTAATTTCCGATGGGCGGCACGGTGGCTCAGTGGTAACCACTGTTGCCTCACAGCAAGGTCACTGGTTCGAGTCCTGGCTGGGCCAGTTGGCATTTCTGTGTGGAGTTGCATGTACTCTCAGTGTTTGCATGGATTTCCTCTGGGTGCTCCAGTTTCCGCTTAATTCAATGACATGTGCTGTAGGTGAATTAGGTAAACAAAATGGGCTGTAGTGTATGAGTGCATGTATAAATGCGAGAGTGTATGGGTGTTTTTCAGTATTGGGATTGCAGCTGAAAGGGCATCCGCTGCACAAAACATATGCCAAGTAGTTGGCTAATCATTTCACTGTGGTGACTCCTAATAAATAAGGGACTAAGGCAAAGGAAAATACGAACTCTACAGTTGGTTTAGTCTATACAGTATATGTTAGCCAAATTTAATTTGAATCGGCCCAGTTGCGAATTAGTTTCCATTAGTTTCCATTTGAATTAGGCCCAGTTTGCGATTTAACTGTTAGCTTACTCCTGTTAAACAAATATTCAAATAAAGTGAATCTTTCTTTTTTAGGCATATTGACCCGAGTAAGAAAACCATGTGAATGTACACAAAAACAGCATAAACAAAAGGGACTTTGCAAGTATGGGAACAATCCCCAACTTCAACCATTAATGTGAGGATCGCAAAGCACTCATCAGCTGATCTTGAGGAATTACTGCTGAATGCACAACCACAGAGCCACACAATTAAACATACATTATTGTGTTCGATAGGAAAAGAACAGTGAGGGATTATCCTACGATGACCTGATAAGATTATATTTGCCACAAGAATGCAGTCAGTGCTTGCTCAGCTCTTGAGAAAGAACCCTTGCTATTTAGTTGAGAAATTTATATTACTGCACTCTTGAGGAAAAATAGTTTTACCACAAATTTACACAACAGCATGGTTTTATTGTAGTTTAATCATCATTAACAATTTTACACAAAATAATACATATTCAATGTATCAGAAAACGTAATTACTATGCTTTTACAATTAAATAACCATTGTTAATTTATGTAAGGGGCTATATTTTTGGTACTACTATAGTTTTTAATTAAAAAGTATATTAAAAGTGCATTAAAAGTATATTAATTAAAATTTTATTTTACAAATAAACGCTGGAAAGAAAACAGAAACCATCACAGAATTTTCATTTGAATGCATACATTACAAACTGTATTGATTTTAATACAAACAGTAATGGTTGTTTGGGTCTCTACTAGTAATTTTTTTTAGATTCCTATTGGTTCCTGATTGAGAATGTCCCAAAAACGCATTAGAAACCATTAAAGGGTAAGTTTTGATGGTTAAAGTGTAACGTTTTATAGTGTTTTAATGTTGTTTGTGGAGTTACATCGCTAGAACTCTTTCAATAGGGAATGGTGGGCTGAAACGCAACACAAACAGTACAATCCCAGACTTAATTCTTTTCAGAAATTCTCCAAAGTTCCTGGTTTCTTAATAGCTTGCTAATGATTAACTCGCAGGCTATTTTGGTGCTCAAAAGCAGTTCTTCAAGTTTACGGTTTTTAAAGGCAAAGTAACGTGAATCACGTTTAAGCATGTCTGCGGCGTTCAACTTGCCAAACACGTGCAGCTCAAGTCCCTCAGTATAAATGTCACGTATCTAGAGGAATAAAACTGGATTTACCACGCAGAAGACCACAAATCCTGATCGAGGGACAGCAGAAGACATGATGTCCTTGGGATTCCGCTGATAAAAGTAATCCGGTTTGTTGTCTTGCATAATTATTTCACGGCACTAAAAGTTACATTGCGGGTGAAGTCTAGTGCGCAACTTTTGGTTCAGCTCGCCAGGTGTTCGCCGCCCGACAGGTTCATCCCCAACAAACACATTTACGTTGTAGCGATGTCTGCACAACGTTGTATTTTTTCAAAGGCAACGTTGCCGCTTACGTGTTCGCTACATTGTCACAACGTAGAAATGTAAGACGTGAGAAGGCTGTAGCAACGTTGTCGTGCGACATTCAGCAACCGCGAGGCGGCGTTCTTACTACTTGTATTAATATTTTTTGTGGCAGTTTATCAATACTGCCTAGAATACAGGATAAGCAGCAATTCTTTTCCAGTATTGCTTAATATTAAATATTGTTCATTTATTTTTCCTATTTCATTTAACAACTGCATGTGTAAACTTTAAAGTGTAAAAATGCCACACAAATGAATATAATCAAACTTTTTATTATATATTTCACAACATTTAATACATACAGTACACATACAGTATCTAATTATAAGCAAACAGTATAAAATAAAGTTTAGATTATATATATATATATATATATATATATATATATATATATATATATATATATATACTACATACATACATACATTAAACTAAAGGGTAAACAAACAAGAAAAGTAAACAAGAAGTCATTAAAATGTAAATAAATATATAAATATATAAATAAATATATAAATTAAAATTCAAACACTGGGCAGTGAAACTCTGGACTGGAGAATACAGCAGACCGGGGAGCGCAGCTGAAGACCAGTTGTAGTTGTTGGTATGGAGAAAGCAGTCAGAGGAAGAAACAAATTCAACGGATAATCCAGCTTCAGAGATCCACAGCAGACACAAGTCAAAATAGGCAGTGAACAAGAGAGGACAGATCAGAGCTTGACACAACAGCACTACACAGGAAATGACTATAACTAACAAGTTATTGAAGTTTCAGACATTTATTGTAATTTCATTACATATAAAATCTCCAGAGTAATTATGTAGCCTACTTTATTTTAATGTTTTAATAATATATCATATACCAAAATTACATACAATTAAATAAATTTAGAGATACAGTGAAAACAGGTTTTAGTTAACAGAAGTCAGAGTTAGTCTCCGAATACTTACTTAAATTATGAGAAGAGAAAGAAGAGGTCCTGTAGTTGTGGCGTTGCTCACTGTAAATGGAATGTTAAACTTAGTGTCATTTCAATAACAGCTGTACAAAATAATAAAGTAATTTTTCATAAGCATGATCTATTTTCCACATTATGGACATGCTCTTTTAGGTAACTACATTTAACAGTAAATAGAGTAGTATACTTCTTACCTCATCCAATTCTTCTTTCCATAGATAAGGAATTACAGCTACACTGATATGAGGTGAATTCAACAGCTGAAAACATTCTGAAAGACAAGTTACATGAGTAATTTGAAAACAACAGTGAGTGGTTAAACAATAGAGTTTTATGCAACTTACGCATAATTAAAATCCAGAAATTATCAATAGAAGATTACCTCCATGTAAAAATAGCCTGTTGAGTAAAGAAAAGAGTGGGTTTTAGATAAAACATCAAAAGACCAATCAAAATAGAAATTTAGACTAGCAGACCTTTTAATTACTATCTATATTAATTAGGCATATGAACCTCAATTTATATACTTTAACTTATAGGGATAGCTCACCCAAAACTGACAATTCTGCCATTTTAGCCTCATCCTTTATTTGTTGCAAACTTATTTAGCTTTTTTTCTGCTAAACAATAAAGAAGATATATTAAATAAAGCTGGAAAACTGTAACTATTTAATTCCATAGTCGTTTCCTACTATGAAAGCAAATGCTTACAGTCTTTAGTGTTCAACAGAATAAAGAAACTTAAAGGTTTGGAATCACTTATTATTTACAGGGCAAATAATTCGTGAGTACATATCATTATTGAGTGAACTGTTCCTTTAACGGGACGCAATCTGCACAGAGATGCTTTGTTTTTAAAAGTTATTTTGTGTGTTTTGTAAAAAGTGGGTCGGCTCGTGTGATGAAGTATTAACTGATCACGATGGATATGGAGAAAACTGAACTTCAAAAACATTATTGTCCATTTGACTAAAGACAAGGCGTAGGTAAATAATCAGGAAATGTTTTATCGAGAGATTTAACATAATGATTTTACTCGCTCGTAATAATTACGGCTTTTGTGTGTGTGTAATGTTGGAACAGATTGTTGTCGAAATCGTAGGTTTGTTTGAATATTCACGATTTACGTATCTTATTTAGCAAGAAGAAAAGCAATACTCACGTCTCCTCGGTCGTTGATGAATGAGACGACGGCTTGTTGAAATTTAAACTGATTCAGCTGTGACCAGTAAATGTTGTACAGTGGTCGTCCACGCCACCTAAGCACAACCTAAAGCATGCGACCCTCATGATGTTTAAATGGCAACCTTATGACATCGTTGTGACAACCTTTAGCAACAACGTAGAATCCTCAACCTTTTTACAATGTTGGTACAACGTTGTAGGAAGGTCGCTACGTTGAGGCAACGTTGTGTGTTTGTTGGGTTTCAGACCACAGCTCTCAACCAAGCCTTCAATATGGAAAAGTGTGGGCACCCCTTTGCTAGACCATTCAAGGCCTTGACTTTGAATGAAACATCTTCATGTTTGTTTTCAAGAGTAGCCTAGAGAAAATCTTATTTTTGGAAAACGAGACGGCGAATGATGACTCCTTTTACATTTGGACTGGACTAAAAATATTCTCTCGAGAAATAGCAGCGACCTCTAGTGGAAGTCTTTTTTTAGACCTCTAGTCTAGACTTCCAAGTGTTTCCTGAAGGAGACTCGCAGCACGATACCCGTTTTCAAACCACTAAAATTAATTACTTTATCTTTTTCTTTCCACATGATGTATACGGCGACCGATCACTCGCTGTTATGAATGAATAACGCTTATGTGTATTACGTTAGTTGTCAAATTGCCTCTCAATCGCCCTTTAATAACTACGGTATCTTCATAGCTATATTTATATTACTGTGGGTGGGTCTGAATGTTTCAGCTTACCAAGTTTATCGAACTACAAATAGGAGGAGGAGAGACTACCCAACAAACACACAACGTTGCCTCAACGTAGCGACCTTCCTACAACGTTGTACCAACATTGCAAAAAGGTTGAGGATTCTACGTTGTTTCTAAAGGTTGTCACAACGATGTCATAAGGTTGCCATTTAAACATCATGAGGGTCGCATGCTTTAGGTTGTGCTTAGGTGGCGTGGACGACCACTGTACAACATTTACTGGTCACAGCTGAATCAGTTTAAATTTCAACAAGCCGTCGTCTCATTCATCAACGACCGAGGAGACGTGAGTATTGCTTTATTTCTTCATGCTAAATAAGATACATAAATCGTGAATATTCAAACAAACCTATGATTTCGACAACAATCTGTTCCAACATTACACACACACAAAAGCCGTAATGAAGTTATTACGAGCGAGTAACATTTCGGCATTCCGTTAACGGACGGCAACAACATTAAAATCATTATGTTAAATCTCTCGATAAAACATTTCCTGATTATTTACCTACGCCTTGTCTTTAGTCAAATGGACAATAATGTTTTTGAAGTTCAGTTTTTTCCATATCCATCGTGATCAGTTAGTATGATACTTCATCACACAAGCCGACCCACTTTTTACAAAACACAAAATAACTTTTAAAAACAAAACATCTCTGTGCAGATTGCGTCCCGTTAAAGGAACAGTTCACTCAAAAATGATATGTACTCACGAATTATTTGCCCTGTAAATAATAAGTGATTCCAAACCTTTAAGTTTCTTTATTCTGTTGAACATTAAAGACTGTAAGCATTTGCTTTCATGGTAGGAAAACACTATGGAATTAAATAGTTACAGTTTTCCAGCTTTATTTAATACATCTTCTTTATTGTTTAGCAGAAAAAAAAGCTAAATAAGTTTGGAACAAATAAAGAATGAGGCTAAAATGGCAGAATTGTCAGTTTTGGGTGAGCTATCCCTATAAGTTAAAGTATATAAATTGAGGTTCATATGCCTAATTAATATAGATAGTAATTAAAAGGTCTGCTAGTCTAAATTTCTATTTTGATTGGTCTTTTGATGTTTTATTTAAAACCCACTCTTCTCTTTGCTCAACAGGCTATTTTTACATGGAGGTAATCTTCTATTGATAATTTCTGGATTTTAATTATGCGTAAGTTGCATGAAACTATTGTTTAATCACTCACTGTTGTTTTCAAATTACTTATGTAACTTGTCTTTCAGAATGTTTTCAGCTGTTGAATTCACCTCAGATCAGTGTTGCTGTAATTCCTGATGGAAAGAAGAATTGAATGAGGTAAGAAGTATACTATTCTATTTACTATTAAATGTAGTTATGTTACCTAAAACAGCATGTCCATAATGTGGAAAATAGATCATGCTTATGAAAAATTACTTTATTATTTTGTACAGCTGTTATTGAAATGACACTAAGTTTAACATTTCATTAACAGCGAGCAACGCCACAACTACAGGACCTCTTCTTTCTCTTCTCATAATTTACAGTAAGTATTCGGAGACTAACTCTGACTTCTGTTAACTCAAACCTGTTTTCCCTGTATCTCTAAATTTATTTAATTGTTTGTAATTTTGGTATATGATATATTATTAAAACATTAAAATAAAGTAGGCTACATAATTACTCTGGAGATTTTATATGTAATGAAATTACAATAAATGTCTGAAACTTCAATAACTTGCTAGTCATAGTCATTTCCTGTGTAGTGCTGTTGTGTCAAGCTCTGATCTGTCCTCTCTTGTTCACTGCCTATTTTGACTTTTGTCTGCTGTGGATCTCTGAAGCTGGATTATCCGTTGAATTTGTTTCTTCCTCTGACTGCTTTCTCCATACCAACAACTACGACTGGTCTTCAGCTGCGCTCCCCGGTCTGCTGTATTCTCCAGTCCAGAGCTTCACTGACCAGTGTTTGAATTTTAATTTATATATTTATTTATATATTTATTTACATTTTAATGATTTCTTGTTTACTTTTCTTGTTTGTTTACCCTTTAGTTTAAATATATATATATATATATATATATATATATATATATATATATATATATATATATATATATAATCTAAACTTTATTTTATACTGTTTGCTTATAATTAGATACTGTATGTGTACTGTATGTATTAAATGTTGTGAAATATATAATAAAAAGTTTGATTATATTCATTTGTGTGGCATTTTTACACTTTAAAGTTTACACATGCAGTTTTTAAATTAAATAGGAAAAATAAATGAACAATATTTCACATTAAGCAATACTGGAAAAGAATTGCTGCTTATCCTGTATTCTAGGCAGTAATGATAAACTGCCACAAAAAAATATTAATACAAGTAGTAAGAACGCCGCCTCGCGGTTGCTGAATGTCGCACGACAACGTTGCTACAGCCTTCTCACGTCTTACATTTCTACGTTGTGACAATGTAGCGAGCACGTAAGCGGCAACGTTGCCTTTGAAAAAATACAACGTTGTGCAGACATCGCTACAACGTAAATGTGTTTGTTGGGTATTTACTCCCACGTTAGCCATTTACCAGAACATTTAACCTCTAAAAGGCTGAAATAAAGCATTCGTGCGGCTGTAGTCCATAACAAACTGCAGTGCAAAGAGTCAGAAGCAGCACTTAAGTTTATTAGGTTTCCAATCCTCTTATGATGAGACTCGCGCACCGCTCGTGATTGGAGGCTCCCGTATCCGGATATGAGCGTCAGTCAATCAGCATCAAGCGCCACACGCTGCAGCTTTGGGACAAGAGCAGACTGTCCAAACTGTCAGACGCTGACTCTGATGGGTTAGTCAGTGAGACCCAACAAACACACAACGTTGCCTCAACGTAGCGACCTTCCTACAACGTTGTACCAACATTGTAAAAAGGTTGAGGATTCTACGTTGTTGCTAAAGGTTGTCACAACGATGTCATAAGGTTGCCATTTAAACATCATGAGGGTCGCATGCTTTAGGTTGTGCTTAGGTGGCGTGGACGACCACTGTACAACATTTACTGGTCACAGCTGAATCAGTTTAAATTTCAACAAGCCGTCGTCTCATTCATCAACGACCGAGGAGACGTGAGTATTGCTTTTCTTCTTGCTAAATAAGATACGTAAATCGTGAATATTCAAACAAACCTACGATTTCGACAACAATCTGTTCCAACATTACACACACACAAAAGCCGTAATTATTACGAGCGAGTAAAATCATTATGTTAAATCTCTCGATAAAACATTTCCTGATTATTTACCTACGCCTTGTCTTTAGTCAAATGGACAATAATGTTTTTGAAGTTCAGTTTTCTCCATATCCATCGTGATCAGTTAATACTTCATCACACGAGCCGACCCACTTTTTACAAAACACACAAAATAACTTTTAAAAACAAAGCATCTCTGTGCAGATTGCGTCCCGTTAAAGGGACAGTTCACTCAATAATGATATGTACTCACGAATTATTTGCCCTGTAAATAATAAGTGATTCCAAACCTTTAAGTTTCTTTATTCTGTTGAACACTAAAGACTGTAAGCATTTGCTTTCATAGTAGGAAACGACTATGGAATTAAATAGTTACAGTTTTCCAGCTTTATTTAATATATCTTCTTTATTGTTTAGCAGAAAAAAAGCTAAATAAGTTTGCAACAAATAAAGGATGAGGCTAAAATGGCAGAATTGTCAGTTTTGGGTGAGCTATCCCTATAAGTTAAAGTATATAAATTGAGGTTCATATGCCTAATTAATATAGATAGTAATTAAAAGGTCTGCTAGTCTAAATTTCTATTTTGATTGGTCTTTTGATGTTTTATCTAAAACCCACTCTTTTCTTTACTCAACAGGCTATTTTTACATGGAGGTAATCTTCTATTGATAATTTCTGGATTTTAATTATGCGTAAGTTGCATAAAACTCTATTGTTTAACCACTCACTGTTGTTTTCAAATTACTCATGTAACTTGTCTTTCAGAATGTTTTCAGCTGTTGAATTCACCTCATATCAGTGTAGCTGTAATTCCTTATCTATGGAAAGAAGAATTGGATGAGGTAAGAAGTATACTACTCTATTTACTGTTAAATGTAGTTACCTAAAAGAGCATGTCCATAATGTGGAAAATAGATCATGCTTATGAAAAATTACTTTATTATTTTGTACAGCTGTTATTGAAATGACACTAAGTTTAACATTCCATTTACAGTGAGCAACGCCACAACTACAGGACCTCTTCTTTCTCTTCTCATAATTTAAGTAAGTATTCGGAGACTAACTCTGACTTCTGTTAACTAAAACCTGTTTTCACTGTATCTCTAAATTTATTTAATTGTATGTAATTTTGGTATATGATATATTATTAAAACATTAAAATAAAGTAGGCTACATAATTACTCTGGAGATTTTATATGTAATGAAATTACAATAAATGTCTGAAACTTCAATAACTTGTTAGTTATAGTCATTTCCTGTGTAGTGCTGTTGTGTCAAGCTCTGATCTGTCCTCTCTTGTTCACTGCCTATTTTGACTTGTGTCTGCTGTGGATCTCTGAAGCTGGATTATCCGTTGAATTTGTTTCTTCCTCTGACTGCTTTCTCCATACCAACAACTACAACTGGTCTTCAGCTGCGCTCCCCGGTCTGCTGTATTCTCCAGTCCAGAGTTTCACTGCCCAGTGTTTGAATTTTAATTTATATATTTATTTATATATTTATATATTTATTTACATTTTAATGACTTCTTGTTTACTTTTCTTGTTTGTTTACCCTTTAGTTTAATGTATGTATGTATGTAGTATATATATATATATATATATATATATATATATATATATATATATATATATATATATAATCTAAACTTTATTTTATACTGTTTGCTTATAATTAGATACTGTATGTGTACTGTATGTATTAAATGTTGTGAAATATATAATAAAAAGTTTGATTATATTCATTTGTGTGGCATTTTTACACTTTAAAGTTTACACATGCAGTTGTTAAATGAAATAGGAAAAATAAATGAACAATATTTAATATTAAGCAATACTGGAAAAGAATTGCTGCTTATCCTGTATTCTAGGCAGTATTGATAAACTGCCACAAAAAATATTAATACAAGTAGTAAGAACGCCGCCTCGCGGTTGCTGAATGTCGCACGACAACGTTGCTACAGCCTTCTCACGTCTTACATTTCTACGTTGTGACAATGTAGCGAACACGTAAGCGGCAACGTTGCCTTTGAAAAAATACAACGTTGTGCAGACATCGCTACAACGTAAATGTGTTTGTTGGGAAGTAAATAAAGCAACCTGTATTACATTGAAGTTGTCATGGGTAATTTCCTAATTTATTTCATATCCATTACTAAAAAGAAAAAGATATTTAAAATCATATCTAATATTGCATTCTAAATAAAAAAGTGTATACTATTTTAACAAACTTATTAAAATAAAATCTTTAAAAAACATTTAAAAAATCCAACCAATGGAGTTCAATGCTGAATAGACTAGTCATGCTGAACCTGCCTTTGTCTTGATTTGCATGCTGTTGTCTTCTGCTTTCTCCCCTATTCGTTAAGTATCAGTATGTACATTTAAAAAAAGATTTATTTACAACGTTTAATTTCAGTTTACTTTTTTTGTAGCTGAAAAAAACCTAATAAAAGGTTACATAGAAATGAGAATCTGTAAAGTCATTCCCCAACCCATCCCAATCATTTTCCCTCTGGCAGGCCAAATCAAAGGATTTAAAATGCCAACTTTGGCCCACGGGCCCTAATTTGGGTGTCTCTGGCCCAGCACCACAATATTTATCTGAGCTTTTAATCCTATACACTCCTACGTGCTTGTCTGATGCTGACCTTTTAACTGCTCAGTCAACGCAGCTAAAGTCTATGGGAGACTGGTCATTCCCTTTATTGGCACCTAATTGTGGAACATTTTACCGTCTGATATTCGCAATGCAGAATCCCTGAGTATTTTTAAATCATCAAAACTTTTTAGGATAGCTTTTATTTGATTTTATTGGACTTTTATATATATTTTTTATCTAATATTATTATTTTATGTGCTTTTAAATATTTTTTTATTATTACTTTTTTTTTGCATTCATCCATGTGTCTTTTACTGCTGCACATTTTTTGTCTGTAAAGTGCCTTGAGATGTTTCTTTTAAAGGCCCTATATAAAAATAAAGCTTATTATGTTATTAATAATTAAGTTATTAATTTTCCTTTCGGCCCAGTCCCTTTATTAATCTGGGGTCGCCACAGCAGAATGAACAGCCTATTATTATTATTATTATTATTATTGTTGTTATTATTATTATAAATTAATAAATATTACTTTTGGCGTAGTCCCTTTATTAATTATTTTGTCCGGCAACAAGTTTTCCCCACTAGAGTTAATTTGACCTCACCACTTAAAACATATATACACTTGTTTATTTGTGTATCAAGTAATTTTTGTCTTTTTTTTGAAAATTTAAATTTCTCATTAAATAAGCCATGTTTATGTAGATGTTAAAGATTGAATGGAGTCAAATTGACCCCTTAATAATAGAGTTAATTATTATATAACACATTAATACATAAAATAAATAAAAATAACATGCACTGAGATGTGTTAGATTAACAAGGCCATAGCAATTACATGTAAAATGAACCTACAATCAAATAATTTCAGAGAGAGAGAGAGAGAGAGAGACAGAGAGAGAGAGAGAGAGAGAGAGACAGAGAGAGAGAGAGAGAGAGAGACAGAGAGAGAGAGAGAGACAGAGAGAGAGAGAGAGAGAGAGAGAGAGAGAGAGAGAGAGAGAGAGAGAGAGAGAGAGAGAGAGAGAGAGAGAGAGTTAAATATAATTGTTTAAAATGCACATACTTTGTGCATCAGACTGAAACATGGAAAATATTTGATGCCTACGCATCTATTATTGGAATTTGTTTTCAACAGGTTCTTGCACACCACTAAAACCGCTGACCCAGATATCAGTCATTGGACTCCCTCCACCTTTACAGCAACTACAGCAGGTTTGCAGCCACATATTTATACAACAAATCATATAACACGTTGTGTGTGTGTCGCAGAAAATAAATGCAAATTTAATACAACTTCAGTTGTTTTGAATTAAACTAGAAAACTGTGTAATTAGGAATGAATCTAAAGTTACAGATCACTTTTATATTTAAGGACACTTTTATAGTTATGTTATCAAAACCTTTTTATTCAATAGCAAACACCCTTATAGTGTAATTAAGAATATATCTAAAGTCTACAGTTTCATCAGTGCAAACTATTGATAACAATAAAATACATTTTTCCAACATGAACATTTTGCCCAATAAATTTGTTTGTGTGTCAGAAAATGTAAATTTGATCTAACTAGCAAACATCCTCAGTGTAAGGATGCATCTAATGTGCACCGTTTTCATCAAAGCAGACAATTTATCAAAATAAATAATTAAAGATAAATAACATTTTTAAATTAAAAAAATAACTGTTTTTTTCACTTCCAAAACATTTTCCTCCCATGAATTTATTTGTGCATGAAAGATAAATGTAATTTTAAATAAGTTAATGGTTAAACTATCAAGCAGTCCCAGTGCACCTGAGAATAAATGTAAAGTTTTATCTTTGCGTAACAAGAGGCGGAATCACACTGACAGTTAGACTCTAAAGAGCAACAAGCACCACCAGTCATTCTGATGTGGTCAACATGAAGCTTTCTATCGCCACTCTCAGTAAGTGATGCCTCTTCATATTTCATCTTTAACTATGCATATCTAATGTACATATGTAGATTTTGTTCAGTGTAGTCTGTACTGTGTGATGTGTTTTTCTTTAAGCATGTGTGTGTTTGATTTTTTTCCCTTTGTTTGTCCTATCATTTCTGTGTGGATGTAGTTGCACTGAGTTGCATTTACTGGACGGTCTGTGGAAAACTGGTGGAGCTGGTGGTCAAACCTGGAGATAATGCGACTCTACACTGTGACCGTGAGAACTTTGGACAGGACATTCAGTGGGTCAAGATCTGCTCTTTTCAAATCCAGCCACTTCTGGTCGTCTCTGCATACAAGAGCCTGACAGAACCCGTCCCACGGTTCCATGTGTTATCTGACAATAGGCCTACTTCCAAATCCTATGATTTATTGATCGAGAACATCACTGAAGCAGACCTGTGCCTGTATTATTGTTCAAGTGAGGGAGAAAAGATTACCGACGAGAATGGAAAAATCACAGAGAAGAAGGTTTACCACAATGGTGATACGTTCACAAAGCTCACATTCACTACGCCTGGTAAGCTTGTTTCATACAGCAAATGGTAGAAATTAGGAAGCTAAATAATGTACTTAAAATAAAATTTATTTAAATAAATTTTGGGCGACAATGTGGCACAATGGGTAGCACGATCAAATCGCAACAAGAAGGTCACTGGTTTGAGCCCCAGCTGGGTCAGTTGGCATTCCTGTGTGGAGTTTGATGTTCTCCCTGTGTTTGCGTGGTTTTCCTCCATGTGCTATGGTTTACAGACATGCGGTATAGATGAATTGAATAAGCTAAATTGTCAGTAGCGTACAGTATGTGTGTAAATGAATGTTTCTTAGTGCTGGGTTGCAGCATAAAAGGGCATCCACTGTGTAAAACATATGCTGGATAAGTTGGCGGTTCATTCTGCTGTGGCGAAATGAAAGAGACTAAGCCAAAGAAAAATGAATGAATAAATAAATGTTGTTAACTGAAACAAAACATCACAACATCATTATAACTCAGTGTACAGAAGTAAATATGAATGAATGAAAACAATATAAACAAGTAATAATAATGATAATAATAATAATAATAATAATAATAATAATAATAAAAACACACACAAAAAAGAAAACTACATTAAATATCATTCAAACTATAACTATAAATGTGGTGGGACATAGTGGGGAGAAAAAAGGAGTTGGAAAAAAATAAATAAATAAAGTGAACAAAAAATTTTTGTGGAACACAACAGTTTTGCAAGGTAAA